AAGGCACATGCACACATATATAGAAGAGAAGGTTAAGAGGTCCCAGGTCGGTGGGGCAGTGAATACACTCCAGGTTTTGGATGTTTTTAAAGGAGTTCTCCAAAGTGTAGAATAGCATCATAGAATCTTGGAAGAGACCACAAGGGCCATAAAGTCCAAATCCCTGACATGCAGGAACTCAAAATCAGAGCACCCATGATGGATGGCCGTCCAGTCTCTATTTAAGTTCATCATTAAGGTTTGGAAACCAAAAGCCCTATGAGGAGTGGGTATGTTTAGCCTGAGGAAGAGAAGGTTAAGGGGTGGCATGATAGCCGGGTTTAAATATTTGAAGGGATGTCATGTTGAGGATAGAGCAAGTTTGTTTTCTGCTGCTCCAGAGAATAGGACCCAGAGCAATGGATTCAAACTAGAGGAAAAGAGATTCCACCTCAACATTAGGAAGAACTTCCTAAGAGTAAGAGCTTTTCGACAGTGGAATATGCTTCTTTGGAAAGTGGTGGAGTCTCCTTCTTCGTAGGCTTTTAAACGAGACTGGATGGCCATCTTTTGGGGGTGCTTTGATTGTGAGTTTCCGCATGGCAAAATGGGGTTGAACTGGATGACCCTTGGGGGTCTTTTCCAACTATAGAATATTTGAGGTCCAGGATATTTGAAAGACTGTCTCTCCAGATATGAGCCTGTCTGAATTTTAAGATTTCCAAGGGAGGGCTTTCTCAGGCATATTTGGAGAGGACACATAAGAGGGCCTTCTTGGTGGCTGCTCCCAGGCTGCAAAATCCTCTCCCATAGCCTAGGCTGGCCCTTCTCTTCTCTCCTCCTGTCCGCAGGCAAATACCTTTTAATTTAAAGGAACTTTCATCTAAGAAAGGTCTTTTTATAGGCTTTCGTCTCCAACACGGCTTTTATGCTTTCATCCACCATTGTTACATTTTAAATCCTTTAAAACTGTTCAGTATTAACAATGCTTTTAATAGTAAGCTTGTCGTTTTGTATTGTTTATTGCATTTTAAATCATTGCATACAAAATAAAAAAAAACCTACACCACCGAAACAACTAAACACAATACGATCAAAAACTCACAAATAAACTTAATACTCTAAAAATAATTTATTAAAAAAAACTGATTTCCCCCACTATTCCTCCCAAAAAACTAAACCCAACATAAGTTAAATCAAACTAAACTATAAATTAAATAACCCCATATAACCACAAATAAAAAAAACACTATTGTTTTTTACCTAAGAGAACACCTCTCTAGGAATCTCTTAAATCTTACAGTGCAACTCTATGGTCAACATCTGCCAGATGTTATTCTATCAGTTTGGGGGTTTTGATTATGGATCCCAGGTACTTATTGCTGAATGGTCTGTAGATAATAGCAATATTTGAGGCAATTCATTACTCAGTTTTTGTTATAGTTGTGTTCCTTCAAGACCTTAAGGCAGACCTATAATGGGGTTTTCTTGGCAAGTTTCTTCAGATGGGGTTTGACATTGCCATCCTCTGAGGCTGAGAGAGTGTGACTTGCCCTGGTTCACCCCCAGTGGATTTCATAGCCAAGCAGGAATTCAAACCCTGTTCTCTAGAGTCATAGTCCATTGCTCAAACCATTACACCATGTTGGCTCTCTACAGATGTTTTAATACTGTAGTTTATTCGATGTAACACTTTTATCATATGTTTTTCTAAAAATATACCTTGTTTTAATTTATGACATGAGCTACTTTGGGTCCTATTTGGGCAGAAAGGTGGAAAATAAAATAAATACATACATGAGCAAGCGTGCCCTATGCAGACCTTTATTGAAACAGTGCTCCATTATGTACTGATTTCTTTTCAGCATGGAGTGTTGGACTATGACTCTGGAGACCAGGGTTCAAATCCCGGCTTGGTCATGGAAACCCATTGATTTCACTTCTAGGCTGCCTTCCTTGAGAACCTGTAATATAGGAAAGATATAAAAATTTAAATAAATAGTATGGCATAGTGGTTTGAGTGCTGGTTTGGGACACTGAAGACCAGGGTTCAAATCCCTGCTGAGCCACGAAACCCACTGGGTGAGCTTGGCCAAGTCACACTCTCTCAGCCTCAGAAGACAGCAGTGGCAAACCCCTTTTGAAGAAACTTGCCAAGAAAACACCATGCCAGGTTTGCCTTAGGGTCGGCATAAGTCAGAAAGGACTTGAAGGCATACAACCACAAACAACAACGGAGCAATTAGACAATGCGCTGAATGTGGACATTGCACATGCCACAGCAATGTCCGGTCGCTTCTGATGGGGAATTGACACATGTGTCCAAACACGCACCAGATTGTGTTTTCATTTGGCACGCATGCTGCTTTCCGGTGCTCGCTTTTGCACCAACTTAGAGGTCTGGGGTGCGTGCATGTGTGTGCACATGTGTGTTGCATGCACCCATGTATTTCTTATCACGCTCACAGAGGGGCAAACACAGGGGATCCGTCCTGTCTGCCTCCTTTCTGCTACCTTTGCAGGCGAACAGCCACAGCACCTTTTCACTTCTCACATCCTGTTGTCTTGGCAGCGGGCACCGCGCAGGTCAATTTTCAGAGAGCGGAGGGCAGGCCGAGAACAATGGGGGATCAGTGCGGGATTGTGGGAGAGAGGCGCACTGGAGCCACTTTGTCTGGGCTTCCCCATTCGAACCTCTCCAGGCTTTGTTCAGCTATCAATGCTTCCTGCAGACCTCAACAATAGGCTTGCACAGCTGGGCCCTGTTTCATCTGGCTTCCAGGCCACACAGCCAAGAGAAAGGGAAGGAAGGAGGGAGGACAGCCACCATACCATTGCACATCCTTCAGGGTGCATGCGTGCAATGGCGAAAGGAAGGGCAGCAGCAGCATTGCCTGTGGCTGGAAGGGGAATGCTACTCGGCGCCCTCAATCCAAGACAGTGGTCCCTCCACTTTCACTAGGGTTAGAGGAACAAGACCCCCATGAAAGTGGGAAAACCGCAAATAACGAAAACACAATGTTTTTATCAGAGAGAACACCTCTCTAAGAATCTCTAGGTCCTCCAGTGCAACTCTGCGGTCAACATCTGCCAGAC